CGCGACGACGAGGCGGGCGGGCCGTGGAGGGCCGCGACGACGGGCGGGCGGGCCGCGCAGAGCTGCGACAAAAGGGCGGACGGGCTGCTAAGGGCCGCTAAGGGCGGCGACAGGCCGCTAAGGGCGGCAAGGCGGGCCGCTTAAGGGCGGCAGGGCGGTTCGCGGCAGGGCGGCGACGGGCCGTTAAGGGCGGCAGGGTGGGCCGCTAAGGGCAACAGGGCGGGCCGCTAAGGGCCGCGACGGTAGGGCGGGCCGCTAAGGGCCGCGACGGCAGGGCGAGGCGATGCGCACTTCGGGCAGGGCAGAAAAAAAGTTTTCAAGTGGTGGGCCCTTAAAAAAAACCGGTCCCATTAGGGAACCCGCTCTATACCATGTGAGAAAAGTACGAGGAACGAATCAACTAGCAAAGAGGTGGGTACAAGTAGGAAAACCTTAAAGTGTTGTACCCCTTATTGTCTACCCCACTACAGCCTACACAGACTAAAGCATATAAGTTTGACATGATTCACTTAATCGGCTTCCACCCCCAAGACGTAGAGCATCTGTTCCGCGCTGTAGTGAGTGGTCAACCACTCCTTCACAGCCATGTGGGTCTGAGAGCCACGGCACTCTCAGGCCCCCACTTGTCCCTCACGCAACTGGGAAGGACGTCACATGTAGCACAACAGGTATGTAGACCCACCCAATGGTCAGCAGCCATAGCGAGCTCGGATGCCACATCCTCAGCAATCATGGAGAACCCCTCTTTTGCAAGTGTCGCATTGCACACCATGACGTGGTGGAAATGAACACATAAGTGCTGCCCAACAGTCACCCCCTCGATGAGATCATCCATGGTCAAATCATCGTTATCCGCCCCCTCCAACTCCCCCCGCCGCCTCTTCCTAGTACCCCTCTCTTGCCAATGACGAGGAGGCGACTCGGGTTCAGCTGCATCCTCATCGCCCGCGGCCATTTCATGTATGTCCACGCAACGTGTTGCACATGAGAAACGCATGAGTAAGCATTGATCACAATTGGGTAAAAACACAAGGAACGAACTTTGCGCCTGGCAAAAATGTCGCACCACCCCACGAAACCCACCCTGACCCTCAACATCAGGTCAATTCTTGTAACCATCCCTGAGCCATGCAAACTTCCCTTAGCACTCCATCAAAGCCAGCATCCCGCCTAGGCCAGCATGTCCAGACCATCGTACCTGATGTCGGGGCCTCGGACGTCTCTGTCATGTGCTCCAAATCAGCCTCCTCGTCTGCTGTGTGAACCCTGCCTTACACGGAAGCCTGGATGAGGAAGAAAGACGCCTTTGAGCTTGTCCGAACACCAACCCGCTGACATCCTCCCACCTCAAATCCTCTATGTGCCCTCTTTCCACCATCACGCCACCTCCCTCTCCAGCCGTTTTCCCACCTCCAACCGCCCCCTCCCCATTTGCGATACTGCCGTCACATATCACCTCTACTACAATATTCCCCGATGTGGGAGTTGATGATGGCTGACCACCTACATCCACACGCCCACCCTCTCCACAAGTGTGAACGTGAACGTTCGTTAAAGCAAATGCGAACCCAGATTTTCCCTCACACCATTGCCTTTTCGAAGTGCATCCTTCCCCAATCTCCTCTCCGCCTCCCTTGTTCTCCTTCCCGCCTCCCTTGTTCTCCTTCCCGCCTCCCTCTGCACTAGTTAGCCCCTTCCGACATAACCGAAGAAGCTTTCGCATATCTTGAAACTTCCAGGTTGCAGCTGTGGTTCTCATATTTATATACTTGAATGTGCCCAACAACTCTCATATGGCACGCACGAGTGAGTCTCTGGTGGAGCCATGGGTAAGCCGCCCCTTGTACCCACGCTCTTGCAACCAGCCCCACAAATGCTACGGGGCGACAAGCCAAACATCCTCCACACTCTTGCATTCGGCTGCACGCAACGATAACTTTTTAGCATCAATGGTGTCCTGCACAAAGCGTCTAGTCAATTCCAACATCTATGCTAGACGTCCATTTAATATTTGATCCCCTGATCAATGATCGCTGCCTTGAAGGACCACCCCCTCATCAGAAATAACCCAATCTATTTAAGCTCCTCTTACCCACGTCTATCTTTTCAAGGGCAGGAGATGACATACATCTAGCCATTTCGAGATGGTCACACAATGCATTACCTTCCTTGTAATACGATCCATAAACGACGTAGTACACCACTGCCCCTCTCTGGCTTTTTTATTGGCTATTCAAACAAACTTATGTTTGATTTTACTTATATGGAATTAAATACCGCTATGTGTATACTACACCACAAACCTATGTATCGATAGAAACTTTTATGTGATGGTATCTATAACCCAAGAGTACGACTAACCTCCTACACCGCCTGATACCCCAAGCCTGCAAGCACAAACACACCCATGAATCTCGACGCTGCAGGCGGCATTCACGGCCCTTGTTTCCCTCACTGCTATCCCTACTACTCCGGTCTGTGGATCAAAACTCAAGGGTTTCGCCACATTTTATGCATCCCTATGCCAAGCCTAAACAGGTTGATCAACACTATCAGGACTGTAACCTCATTCGACCGTTGCAACCGGCGATCACAGAGCACCCAATAAACAATGTCATGAAGACACACACGATCAACAGCGGATCATGTAGACATACCACGCCGCGTGCAAGCTCAGCAACGCTTGGCAACACCGGCCAACCACGAGGGGGCGATGTGCCTGTCCAGGGATGATTCTCCACTACAGTTGCATCTTCCTTGCCATATGATACAGTAACACGATTGAGGGCAGCAAGGCGAATGGAAAAATTCAGGTTGCTGCAGCTGAGGTCATGCATTTAATGCAGCCTAGGGCAGCAACATGGTTTTATTGTCAGGAAGGGCAGCGGCAGGTCATTGCTGCACATGCACACGAGTATGCCACGCAGCATGGGACAGCAACACGGCAAGGCAGCAAGGGCTGTTGCGGCATGTCGTAGCTGCACATGTACGCAAGTATTCCACGCAGCATGTGGTAGCAACATGGCGGGGCAGCAGGGGGGTCAGCCCGGACAAATCCATTGTTCACCTATCTTGATGGGTTTTGAACCTTGACGTCCGCATGTGCGGCTCAATCTCAGAATGTGGGGGAATGTCATCCTCATGCTGACCCTCTGGAATGCTCTCCAACCCAATCCCAACGCCATCACACCCCCCTCCTATTCCCCCTTGCCCAATTGCCTCTGATGCTAGGGAAGAACGTGTCGGGCAATCGAGCAACCCGTCAACCACCACACGTCCAATGGTCGATTCCCCTTGAGTAATCAGACTCTCATGGACCACCTCAGAGATAAGGGTGGGGGCGCGTACGATGTTGACTTCTTGTTCAGGAAGCGGCAGCATGTCCTCCTCGAGCTCGAGCACCGCATCCTCAACATCGGGAGCAAGTTGCCCCTCCGTTGCTGGGTGTAGTCCTTCGAGCGATTCCCGTGTTAGATACATGAGGGGGAAAACATTTTTGCATCTTCATTTGAAATTCACTGACCGTTCCACCCACCCAACCATATACACACATCCTCATTTCACCCATCATCACCCGTGTCTTTGAGAAGCTTGTATGTGTCACCATGACACGGCCAGCCATGGTTAAATTCGGTGGCGTTTCACATGATTCCTTCACTGTTGAAAAAACAATCATGAAAACCAGTGTTCTGGACAACTGCGCATACTAGACAAGAGCGCTCCTGCCCTTCCCACCACGTCCTCACCACCAAACTGCAACTCCTGGGCATGTGCACAAAGTTGCTTGCGTGCAATCTCCGGTGTCTCTGGTCCTTTAGTTCATGGTTGATTCCAATGGATAAGGAAAGCAACTGGTGGTGAGTCTTGGAGTGGCAACTGTTCAATGCGTTTCTAAACCCACAAGTTCTAAAATCATTTTCTAGATTGCGTATCCAAACCTCTCACACACCGTTCGTAGCCCCAATCGCCATAAGCCATTTGGTGAGGCGCGGTGCGGCCAACGTGTACAAATACATCAAGTCACCGCAAGATGCTATTTGCTTCCCATAAAAAAGAAGTGTAGCCCCACTTCGCAAGAGAGCTATTGGCTCGTGGAGATGTCTCGAAATCGACAGTTAGAGAGTTCCATGACTTAGCATAATGTCGTGTATTTCCCGACCTGTCACCTCTCAGGGTTCGGAGCTAGTGTTGGTACGAGGCACCATTGTAGGCTGTTAGACGTAATCATGAAACACCACACAGAAAGGGCAAATGATTGGCCATGTTAATATGGCCAACTGTAGTGCACTTCAGCATTGGACTACCTCGGTGCAGCTCAAGTCCGCATGCCATGCAGGATGGGGCAGCACCATGAAGAGGCAGCAGCAAGGACAACAGCATGCCATAACCCATGCTGCACTTTAGCATGGCACACAGCATTGGCCAGCATCATGACAAGGCAGCAGCACGGGGAGCTCGAGGGTGAATGAAGTTGGGAGCTCAAGGGTGGGCGAATGAAAGGGGGAGCTCGAGGGTGGGTGTGTGCTCGAGGTTGGGTGGATGAAAATGGCAAATGACGTGGCCGGCTAGTATGGACAAATGAATAGCATAGCAGCAACGAGCGTGCTAGCTTTTGGGACGTCTCAAACGAGAGTGTTGGTGTGGTCGAGCGGGCTGGAAAGGTGGGTGGATGGGAAGGGTTGCAGCATCCGTGCAATTGGTTCTACCACCAGCCTCACCCCAACAGTAAACCATTTTTTATACTCACCATGTGAGGGGATTTAGCCTTAGACAACTGACTTGTTTTTTCATTCAACCATTCTGACACTCACCTTGTTTGAATTCCCCCTCCGATCTACAAGTCCAGAACAATCCGAGCGAAGTGCACGCACTCGGCGCCCCACCAACTCCACCACTCAAGCAGCAGCCTGTGAATCCAAAAAAACTGTTGATGGCAGCACTGAGGAGGGCGAGCAGCAGTAGCGCGTGCTACTGCCGGTATATGGCCAGACACAGAGGCGCTAGGATAGAGGAAGAGAATGGATGGAGTGAGGAGAGGCCAAGTATGATGTGGAGGACTTCCTTGTGGAAGAATATGGGGGCGAGAGCTCGGTAGCCTGGTACTCAAGGCAATGCCGACTAATAGGCTTTTGTGAGTGACGCCGCGCACCTGATGGGGAGAAAAGGTAGGGAGGAGAGGGATGTGGGGGTGAGGGTGGCAGAGGGGAGCAGACTAGGCACCGCCAACTTCCACGCCCATGTGTCCCTTATCGTGCACCTGGTGGAAAGCAAAAGAGGGAGGAGAGGGATGTGGGGGTGGGGGAGGGGAGCAGAAGAGGCAATGCCGTTTGCCTGGCCCCTGTGAGAATGAGGAGTGAGTATGAGGTAGGGAGCATGAGGGAGTGAGTATGAGGCAGGGAGCACGAGTGAGTGAGCATGAGGCAGGGAGCACAAGGGAGTGAGGGTGAGGCTGGGAGGAGTGAGTATTTGGCGGGGAGGGGGGAGGCTGCAGAGGAATGTGGAAGGGGGGTTGCGGAATGGGGAATGCGGCTAAGGGAATGTGGGAGGGGGATTGCGGAAGGGGGAATGTGGAAGGGGCAGGGGGAATGCTGCAAGGAGATTGCGGCTGGGAATGCGGAATGGGGGATGCGGCAGGGAGAATGTGGCACGGGGAAAGCGGCAGGGGGAATGCAAAAGGGGGGATACGGCAGGGGGGATGCGGAAAGGGGGTTTGCGGAAGGTGGAAGGCGGCAGGGGGGAATGCGACATGTTGAATGCGGCAGGGGGAATGCAAAAGGAGGGATGCGGTAGGGGAATGCGACAAGGGGAAGGTGGCAGGGGAATGGGGAAGGAAAATTGCGGAAGGGGTAACGCGGCAGGGGGAATGCGGAATGGGGGTTGCGGAAGAGGGAAGGCTGCGGGGGAATGCGAAAGAGGGGTTGCGGAAGGGGGAATGCGGCAGGGGGGAATGCGGTAGGGAGAATGCGCCAGGGGGGATGCGGAAAGGGGGATGGGGCAAAGGGAATGCGACAGAAGGGATGCTGCAGGGGGAATGCAGAAGCGGGAGTGAGGCTGGAATACGGTGTGACAAAGACGACGGTGTTAATGCGGCTGTGGCACACGAGATGGCGCGAACGCGCTCTCGTAGACTCACACGCGTGAGTGCGCATTTGTGGCTGGGTGAACGCTGAGAATAAACAAGGAAATGAATGAACTATGAATGAATTGGGTACAAGTACTAACCCTAATTGGGTTGTACCCCTTATGGGCTACCCCACTATAGCCTACACAATATGCATAAGCTATAATGTTCTGACACACCCCCATAGGCAAAGTGGGGGAGAACAAGGGGTCACAAGACCAGTCAAGCAAAGCAAAGCAAAGCAAGCTCAGGGTGGATCACAAAGTCACCACACATTCCGAGCACAAGTTCAAGGCCACAAGGCCAGTTCACATGCAGGAGTACATATATATAAAAAGGCTAGACAAGCAAGAGCAAGTGTATATATATATATATGTAACATTACAAGCAAGGTCAAGAGGTGAGCAAGTGAGGCAAGGTAGGCACAAGGCCCAGCTGAGTATAGAAGCGCTGATGGTTACAAGGCGCAAGCGCCTTGGTGAAGATATCAGCAGTGTTGGCCTCAGAGGCCACGTACACAAGACGCAGCTGACCACGCTGCTGCAGCTCACGAGCAAGAAAGTAGCGGAGAGCAATGTGCTTTGTTCTGTGCTCCAGTCGCTGCTCCCGACACAAGGCCAGCATGGCCTTGTTGTCTACGTACAGGACTGGAGGAGAACGAGGCGGCTCTCCGAGGTCAGTCAGCAGGTAGGTGAGCCAGCGAAGCTCCTGAGCAGCCATGGCTCCTGCGTAGATCTCAGCCTCACAACTGGAGACGAGAACAGAAGACGAGCGAGTAGCCCGCCACGAAACAAAGCCGGAACCAAGGCTAAAGGTGTAACCCTGTGACGACCGCTGCGTAGCCTGGTCGTCAGCCCAAGAAGCGTCCGCGTGCCCAGTGAGGACCACTGGACTCTGCCCTCCAAGCACAAGCCCCATGCCCAACGTACTGCACAAATAGCGCAACACCCTCTTTGCTGCAGCCATGTGCTCCGGTCTATGTCTCCCACGAGCAACATAGCGTGCGAGAATGCTAAGAGGGTATGCAAGGTCAGGTCATGTGCAGGTCATTAGGTACATGAGGCAGCCAACAAGCTCTGGGTACGGGCCACTCGACTCTACGGACTCATCCGAAGGCAGAGCTGAGAGCGGGTGGCGAGTAGACAGAGGAGTGGCCTGAGGCGAGGAGTACATGAAGCCGAAGCGCTGAAGGACCTGCTGCACCATGTGTGACTGAGTAAGGGTAATGGTGCGGTGTGCTATGTCCCGAGTGATCTGCAAGCCAAGGTACCTGCGCAGTTCACCCAGGTCAGTGCACGTGTGTCTCTTCTGCAGCTCGGACTTCAAGTGGGCGGGTCCAGCAGTGTCAGTTGTGGCAAAGACCAAGTCGTCGACGTACACGAGGATGTAGAACGGCGGCAGAGAAGTGTCGGTGCGCAAAAACAGCGACGGGTCGGCAGTAGAGGGAGCAAACCCAAGAGCCGCAAGTGTAGTCCTCAGTGTGTCGTGCCACTCACGCGGTGCCTGGCGGAGACTATAGACTGGCCGCCGGAGCCTCCACTGGGTGCCAGGAGGGAAAGTCCCAGTGTAAGAGCGCGGAGTCGGGATGTCAAGTGCATCCGGGTCTCCCTCAGGGGTAAGCAGTACGGACACGAGATGAGGTGAAGCAGCGGCCAAGCACTGGAACTCCTCCTGCCTGTCCTCGAGGACGTCCGTGCCAAGGGTACACTCACCCCCGACGGACGGAGGACAGACAGACTCAGACTCAGCAACAAGAGTGGCGACGTAGTCTAGGCGACAGCGAGCAGCAAAGTCGACGAGCTCAGCAACTAGGGCAGACGCAGCAGTGGACTCAAAGGAAGGGTCAGTGACAACAGTAGCAAGGAGACCCGTAACAGTAGGACTGGCAGCACGAAGGGAGTCCGACTCCGGGTCGGCAAGAGCAGGAAGAGAAGACTCAGGAGGAGAAGGAAAAGGGGTACGCAGAGGAGCTGTAGACGGACGCAGAGACATCCGGTGCGTGCCAGGGACAGGAGGAGGACACTAACGCGAACCGCGACCACTAGTGCGAGCAGCACGGACAGGCGACGCAGGGCAAGACGCAGGCTCACGACGCTCAGCAAGACCTCCAGTAGGACCAGTGTAGGGAGACGGAGCAGGCAATGGGGAGGCCGGCTGTAACTGTAACTTCGACGGGACAGGCTGTGGACACTCTAAGGGAGGAGGACCAATAGAAGGCGGGAGACCAAGAACCTGCTGAAGGAGCGGAACGAAGTACGGCCGAGGCCGCGCGGCGACTCTAGACACAGCAGGGACAGCACCAGTACCCCCAGCGGCAGCACCAGCACCAGCAGCAGCTCCATCTCCAGTACCTCCAGCAGCACCAGTAGTACCCCCAGCGGGACCGCCTCCAGGACCGACAGCAGTAGCCTCCGCGCCAACACCCTCAGTAGCTCCAGCTCGAGAAGTACCCTCAGGCTCAGCACCCGCAGGCATAGCACCCACACGTGTCAAACATTATATATGTTATGCTTGTGTAGGCTACAGTGGGTTAGCCTATAGGGGGTACACAATTCTAGGGTTTCCTACTTGTACTCATTTCTCTGCTAGTTCATTCATTCCTGTTCGCTTATTCTCACATGGTATAGAGCGGGTCCTTCTAAGGACCGTTTTTTTTTGGGCCCACCGAAGCGCGCCCCGAGGCGCGATTTTTTTTAGCGACCCCTCGGGTCGCCTTTTCCCCTGCGGCTCAGCCGCCTCCACTGACGCGGCCCCGCCACCCTCCCTTACGCGGCCCCGTCGCAGGCTCTCACGCGGCCCCGCCGCCGACTCTGTCGCGGCCCCGCCCCGGCCTTTACGCGGCCCCGCTGCCTGCTCTCACGCGGCCCCGCCCCGGCTCCTACGCGGCCCCGCCCCGGCCTTCACGCGGCCCCGCCGCCGGCTCTGTCGCGGCCCCGCCCAGGCTCTTACGCGGCCCCGCCGCCTACTCTCGCGCGGCCCCGCCCCGGCTCCTACGCGGCCCCACCGCCGGCTCTCCTACGGCCCCGCCGCCGACTCTCCCGCGGCCCCGCCCCGGCTTTCACGCGGCCCCGCCGACGGCTCTGTCGCGGCCCCGCCCTGGCTCTTCCGTGGCCCCGTCCCGGCTCTTACGCGGCCCCTGCCACGGCTCTCACTCGGCCCTGCCGCCGGCTCTCTTGCGGCCCCGCCCCGGCTCTCACGTGGCCCCGCCGTCGGCCCTCTCCAGGCCCCGCCGCCGGCTCTCTTACGGCCCCGTCGCCGGCCCTGACGCGGCCCCTGCCCCGGCTCTCAAGCGGCCCCGCCGCCGGCTCTTTTGCGGCCCCGCCGCCGGCTCTGAATCGGCCCCGCCCCGGCTCTCACGCGGCCCCGCCGCCGGCCCTCACGCGTCCCCGCCCCGGCTCTCTCACGCGGCCACGCCGCCACACCTGCAGCAGTCGGGCAGCAGTGCAGCCGAACCGCCCGGGAGCCGAGCCGCCCAACGCCCGAGCCGCCCTGTCGCCAAGCCGCCCGGGACCCGAGCCGCCCTGCACCCGAGCCGCCCTACCGCCGAGCCGCCCGGGAGCCGAGCCGCCCTGCACCCGAGCCGCCCTGCCGCCGAGCCGCCCGGGAGCCGAGCCGCCCTGCGCCCGAGCCGCCCAGCCGCCGAGCCGCCCGGGAGCCGAGCCGCTGTGCACCCGAGCCGCCCGGTCGCCGAGCCGCCTTTCTGCAGAGCTGCACGACCTGCCCTGCCTGGTGAGCACAGTCCCACTGTCACTGCGAGCTCTTTCCCTACTGCTTGCACTGCTTCGCTGTCGTCGCCATGGCTACCCCTAGTGTCCTAGCTTTTGACGCTGAGGGTCGCGCCATTGATTTTGAGGTCTGGTTAGACGACTTGCAGCTGTTCTTACAGTGCGACAGAGCAGACGGCCTTTCTCTCTTTGACCTCACCTCTGGCGCCTCTCCTGCTCCTGCTGCTGATGCTGATCCCACTGTCCGCTCTCAGTGGGCCACCCGCGATGCTGCTGCACGTCTTGCGCACTTTAGTCAGTACAAGAGTGCTCAGACCTTGTACGACGCTGTAGTTGCGCGCTACTCCTCCCCTGCCACTGCTGCACTGAGCCGTCTCATGCTTCCCTACCTCTTTCCTTACCTCTCTGCCTTTCCCACTGTCGCTGACCTCATTACGCACCTCCGCACTAGTGACACTCGCTACCGCGCCGCCCTTCCTGCTGAGTTCTGCGCTAAGAACCCCCCCCCCCCCATGTACATCGCTCTCTACTACGTAGTCGCGCGCCTCCCTGACTCCCTTCGCGTCGTCAGGGACCACTTTCTTGCAGTCTGTCCCACCACCCTCACCGTCGACCTCCTCGAGAAGGCCCTCCTCGCAGCGGAGAAGAGCATAGTCGCTGTAGGTGCTTCTCGTGGTGACCCTCGCACCCCCATCTTTGAGGGGTGCTCTCCTTCCCCCTTGCTGCCCTCTGTTGCCTCTGCTGCTGCTGCCGACCTGCTTGGTCTTGAGTCGGTCGGCGCGGCGTCTGCCCCTAGTGGGAGACGTCGCTCCAGCAAGGGCAAGGGGGGCAAGGGCGCGGGTGGAGCTGGAGGGGGCGGTGGCGGTGGCGGCGGTGACGGCGGAGGGAGTGGGGGTGGCGGCGGGACTAGTGGCGGGGGTGGTGGTGGTGGTGGCAGCAGCGGCGGAGACGGTGGTGGTGGTGCCAGCGGTGGTGGTGGAGGCAGCGGCGGAGGTGGAGGCGGTGGAGGTGGAGGCGGTGGAGGCGGCAGCGGAGGAGGCGGTGGTGGTGGAGGAGGTGGAGCTGGTCGGGGTGGTACCCAGCAGCGTAGCGGCGGTGGTGGTGGCCAGCGCTCGCAGCGGCAGCAGCAGCAGCGCTCGCGGGACATCCCTCCGCCTCAGCAGCTTCGTGAGTGGTACGCTGGGCGTCAGAGGGGTGGGGGTACTGGTCCCTGCACCTACGTTCTTCGTTCCGGCGACCGCGCGGGTGAGCAGTGTGGGGGTGCCCACGCCACCCAGCGCTGCTTTGGCCGCCTGACGGACGC